CACAAAGGTTTCTACTGCAAACAATCTATTTATACACATGATTTAGGAAGATTCAGTGATATTCATAGATAAATATTATGTTCAGTCTAAAGGAAATGGTGTCCTATTTGTACTATTTTTACACATTTGAAGTGGATTATTGGGGGAAATTAAGGTTAAAGTCAACCGCATACAGGTTTTAAACTTCATTCACACTTTCTATCTAAAGTGTGAAATAACTATGATTTTGTGTTTTACCTTTTATGAATTTGAGTACATAGATGAACAATTGCAGGAGGCCAAACATCAACATTCATGTCATCAGGCAGAAATCAATGGAATTTGATTGCAATGACAGCTTACAGGGGTTTGGATTGAACAGCCTGACTCTTGATGGGCTTTGAACACATTTTTTCATGTTGTTTCTCATCGGGATTACATTAAGGACCAGAAGAAGCTTGTCGTCTTTGCACACTGTTGCTGTAGCTTTTTATGGTTGCACATGTGTGGGATTGTTTTCTAATGCTGGAAATTTTAAGATACAGACATTTTCCTCTTTGAGAATCCATGCAGGGTTTAATTTCCCCCATTGGGCAGAGCTAGCTTGTTAGGCTTACAGCACTGAGTGATGAATTAAAAGAAGTCCAGATGTGGGAATAAGAGGATCATACTGCAATGACTGATGACAGCAGCCTTTGATGGAGAAGGCAACCCGTATAGAAAGTGAATTTTAAAGTGGGAGAGACAGAGAGAGAAATAAGTTCGTTCCTGCTTCTTAAACATGGATTTCTTTCTTGTTGCTGTTACAGCTAAAGATAGCCGTGAGCACAGAATTAAAAGTTCATCCTAACTGAAATGAACATCAAAAGTAGAATTGCTTGCCAAGCTTGTACCTGCAGAGAATAACTCTTCCTCAACATAGAGTTAGCTTGCGTCAAGTCAAGGTATTGTTAAAAGGCTGTTTTGGAAACTTTTCCAAAAACATGAAAGCATCTTGTAAATTTTTAATAATTAAAAATTGATCAAATAACATAAAAATCTCAGAGGACACATCCATTGTTGAGTCAATGAGTCTGATCCTGCCTGGGGTCTCTGCTTGTGAAGAGGAAGATTTACTTGCTGCCAAGTTTGTGCTCATTGGCAGTTGAATGTTGGGTCACTTGGGATAGCATTGAAAATAGTCATTAAGTGTGTGCCTTATAAAATTATTATTGACAAGGGATTAGCTGGCCCAGTGGTTTTGATGGTGAACATTTACATTCAAACAACATATACATATATTCACCTCCAGCTACAAGGCCTCAGCACCGTGCAAGTGGATCCTGAACTTCCTATCAGAGCGCCCTTGAGTGACTGGAGGACATCCCATAGTTAGGATAGCACTTCCATCTCTGAGGACCTCACATGGACTTCAAACACCTCCACTCTTGCAAAGAAAGCACAACAAAGACTGCTCTTTCTGAGGATGGTAGAAAAGGCTGGTCTGCCTCAGCATCTGTCTCACACAGAGCATCTCAGTGTGGTAACACAGCTGCACTGCTGCATAGAGAAAGGCTCTCCAGCAGGTTCTCTCTAGCGCACAAAAGATCATTTATGACCCATCTTCATACTGCGTAGGAGGACATCAGCACCTCATGCTGCCACCTGACAGCATCTGCGAGGGAGCCTCATCTATGTAATCGTCTATTTTCAAAAGAAACGGGGCTTTCCTTGCCCACACCTTCAGTCTTATCGCCACATGTGCACATGTTGAAATCCACTGCCTCAGACGGTCCCTACTGCCACTTTGGGATTTTGATTTTTGTACAGTTGCCTTATTGTTGCCCATTTCCAATTTTGCACTGGTCTCAGGGGTGACCATCTCTGGGGCGCTTTCATTCAGTAAGGGTAAGAGGGGATACCGACAGAGACTGGACATCATTTCCAGAAAGAAATTCTGAGTTTTACTATGATCAGATAGCAGTTATAGTCAATAATTGAGAAGCTCTCAAACGACAACAGTGTCATTTGGATCGTAGTGAACTTCCTGAATATGCCTTACAGTGTATCTAGTGTGACGTCCCTCATCCTTTGATAACCAGAACACCCTTACAGTCTGGACTGTCTAATCCAATCTGCTCGCAAATGACAGCTGCTAGCAATGAGCTAACAACATCAAAGTCACCTGGGAAATATGCTGTTTGGAGAAAGACTTCTTTTGAGGGTCTTTTTGATGAGATCAGTGCTTAGCCAACACACTGACGTCCACTCTCACAAACTGCCTAAGGATAGATATTTTCGGGCAACACCAGGATGCAGAAGCCACAAATCAAATCTTTTTAGCGTTAGCTTTTATTTCTTGGGTGCGTTCAAAGTCAAGAGAGACTCAGCTCTGAGTTAACAGTTTTCATTTTCAATTCAAAGAAGTAAACACTTGAGATATGCTGTCCCCAATTGATCAGGAAAAATCAGTTTTGAAACTGTAATTGGCTGCCTTGACTTGAGATGTCACAAATCATGCAAAGTTCCCTTTTAAAATGCAGTAAGGCTAAGAAAAAAGCCTGGAGCCAATCAGCAGACAACAAAGATTGAAGTGGGGAATCGGCGCTGTAACAATGTTTTTATTTGGTCCAATCAAAGAAAAAAGTTAGTTTGAGTGAACAAAGTAAAGTTTTCAGGGGTTTTATCAATAGTCAGTGCAAAAGCAGCAGGAGATGGAGGTCAATGTGGCACCTGTCTGATGTTAGAGGGTTTGTGCTGAAACACCTTGAACTCATCCAATTGTGCAAGTAAAAAAAGTGTTTCTGTGCATGAATACCCATAAGTTGATGACCTTCTCTCTTGGGTTTTTCACTCTTTAATAACTTGTTCCTGTTCATTGTCACCATTATCTAAGCCAGTCAGAGATTGAACGCGACTCTGAAAGTAAGGAAATCTAAGAAATCTCTGAGTGTAGAAAAACCTCGAGTTAAGTCTTGAATATAGGCAGAAAAAACACCTTTAAAACCCTTTCTTGTTAACTATTCATTTGTTTTGCTAGCAGTTGTTAAAAATAGGGTTGAGGAGACGACATATGGCGCAAAAAAGGGACAAGTGGTTTTGGCTCAACCGTAGGAAAGATGTTTCTTTAAAAAGTAACACACACACACCAAAGCCCACTGATTTCTGAGAGTGTCTGAAATACGTTTTGTGATATCTGTCAATCTCACCCAACCTGGGTCTGTGCTGTTTGTCATCTATTGTGTTTTCCTAACTTATTGTCCATAAGTATCTTAGATAATAGGGTGATCATATTCTGACTTCCTAAAAAGAGGACATGACTATGCAGGGACAGTCACACAAAGTTAATTTTGAGAGTTTTTCAGATTGGATCGAGTGTCTTTTATGCACCTTTAACTCAGAAAGTCCATATGACACAAAATCGAAACTTGGTCTGCAGACATTTGAGGGATTTTATAAGCTTCCCTGGACAAAGCCGGACAGCCCTCAAAAGAGACGACATGCTCTGGTAAAAGAGGACATAGGGTCACCCTGTCAGGTAAAATCCATCTTACTCCTTTCAAATATCCCTTAAGATGCTGACTGACAACTGCAATGTGTGGCTAGATGGGAACTATAGCAGTCTTTACTAGCTGCAGCAATGCCACCTGGGGGACTGCACCCCAGGAAATCTTAGTACACCTTATGCCATCAACCAAGGTCGTGCAGGTTTAAACACTACAGGGCGAGATGTATTAAAATCCAAATAAACTTTATCAACACAATAATTCAAAGCATAATAGAAAACAACCAAATCACACACACCAATAATAAAATACTACATTAGAACATTTGGGCAAAGGAGGGTGAAATCAGGCTGGGACTTACCATGCAGAAGGGCAAACCCAATGGGGAAGGAACGAATTACCCGTGACACTTTAAACACACAAAATCAAAGAAATAAAAGGGGATCGTGAGAGGAGCACCACCATTGGGACTGACTGCCGCAGGAAAGCCCAGCACCTGGCAACAAAAGAAACAAGGATTAATAAAACATGCCCAAAAAGTCAAAGAGCAAATTGATGTCAACTAAATAAAACTAAACTACAACCAGAAACAAAAACATTCAATTTAAAAGCTAAGAAAATAAAATACAAAAGACAGTAAGACCACAGTGGTTCACACAGGCACTATGCAGGTGTGGCTGTGTGAGGGGAAGGGCCAATTTCACACAAGTGCAAAGGTCATCCAACAACACCACAGAGGGACTTTCACCCAAGGAATTTAATCCAATTTCAAGTCATTCAAATAAGGCTTACACAAGTTCGAAAGGTCTACGAGACAGACACTTCGTTCAAAGCAAATATCAAGATTTTGTATCATGTTAAGATGTAAAACTGCTTGGACCTGGAAGTGTCTGCTGAAAGAAACAAAAAAGGAGTTAGTGGTGAATTGGTAATGAAAGGTTGAGTCTGCTACTGAATAAGTGAATTGAAAAACTTTATTACAAGTGATTCTTTTGAAGTAATTAATAAAACACTTCCAGATAGCTAAAACTATTGGAAATGAAAGGGGGGCAATGAGTGGGAGCTAGCAAGGGAGAGGCAGTCTACCCAGGAAGTGTCCCAGGAGTGGAGCTGATTGAGTCTCTGAACGAGAGACAAAAATCATTGCACTGTTCAGGAATATTATGAATCATGCTATGTCTTGGACACACACACGCACGCACGCACGCACGCACGCACACACACACACACACACACACACACACACACACACACACACACACACACACACACACACACACACACACACACACACACACACACACACACACACACACACACATTCCACCACTGATAAAAAGGGCTCAAAATCAATGGTCCAACGTCATGAATCAGGGCATATTACCTCTGTCCAGACCATGTGGCGGCAAGCAGGTGGACAAAGGGAAAGGCAGCTCTCCTGCCACAGGTGTCTTAAATAGGAGGGTGGGGAAAAGGGGGAGGAGTTGACCTAGTTTTTGGAGCCTCTGAATCCTCCCTCCTACACAGGCCCAAAATCAAGTAGCGCTGCGCTCGAGGCTACTGTAGCGGGCCCAGGCAACAGACACTTTACGGGACAGAGGCAAATGGCGCTCCAGGCGAGAATGACTAAACCCAGGATGAAAAACAAAGGGAATTAAACCGCTACAACCAGAATAAATCTCCAGAGCCAAAACAGCTCAGAGAGTGGTGGCGGTTGCGGGCAAAACCATTCCACCAGGCTGATTAAAAATCACCAAATAAGAAGAGAAACAAGACAGACAACGTGCAGCTACGTACCAGCACAAAGCAAGTGTTCTTACACCGCAGGGTTACAGCGAGTCACCCACCCTGTCCCCAACGTTTGCAGTCGGCCATGCTTCAAGGAGCGAAAATGTACCAGCAATAAAAAATAAAAAAAAAAGACAGCTGAGCACGCACAGATGAGGGGAGAAGCAGAAACGCCAGGTTGTGGTATGAGCCTACTTGTCCACAGCGCCAAACCAGCTGGCTATCGTAGCCACCATGCCACCACGCCAAGCCACAGCCACCACCGAGGAGCAAGGGAGAGGCGAAAGAGTGGAAGTGCCATTAACGCTCACCTGGATATAAAGGTGCGCATGGTACCGCCCAACAATTTTTTTAGAGGTTTAGACCCACTGCACTCAACTGACTGCCCAGACCTGTTGTCTACATCTGCTGGTGACTTTAATCCAACCAACACATCATGAAGGTTATTTTAACCCGCCATCAGACTGGATACCCTGTTACAGGATAAGTTGACCATAGGAGTGGGGTAAGTTAAGCCTCAACTTACCCCTGGCCAAAGGGCTCAACTTACCCCAGAACTACTATTATGACTTTATTAGTCCTCTTAGCTAAAATGGTGGACTTTTATGCTAGGTTTTTGACCTCATGTTGTGGCTCATAGATACCACAATTCATGTATGAAAGTTTAAAATGATATTTTTTGGTCTGAACACAATTCTAATAAAACATGACAGACTAAATTCACTTCCAAGAGTGAAAAATGTATTTTGGAAATAAATGTCTAACCCCTTCACCCATGTGTTTCTAACCTTCACAGACTCCATGAATTGATGCCCATCTCCTAAATATTTGGTCACTAGATCAATTTCTTTTACTATTTCAAAGCAACTCGGGGTGGCTCAACTTACCCTTTGGCTCAACTTTCGCTCTCCCCTACGCATGATGGTGGCTGCAGCAGTGTGCCAGATCTGTGGCAAAGCTATAGCTAAATTATAGCATTTTTAACCTTAATATAGTGCATTGGTTATAATTGTTGTATGTGTTTTATACACAGTTTTATTGTGAATTAAACTGTATTTGGTCGACAAGGTAGTGTACAAAGGTAACGTTTTTGAGAGTTGAATTTCGTTCTCTACATCAGTGGGAAACCAGCTGTGTGATTGTAGCTGCCACTTTGATAGATTTGCTGACATTCATTGAATGTGGAGGCAATTTCCTAGTGTCTTGATTTAATCAGCGAAAAAAACATCAGTAGTGGATATTGTGTGAGGTACCTGTGTCAAGTTTCATTTTCTTTCTTGTTCTTAACCCCGTCACTCATTAAGCCTTACACATTCTGTGACCAGGATCCTCCCACTCCTTTCTCTGAGCTGAATGCAGGGGGTGTTTCTGTGAATGATGAGACCAATGCTCACTCTAGCCTTTCGATGATGAGAAGGCTGTCAGGTGGTTGTGTGTAGCAACAAATCTCTGCTGTCCACTTCTTCACACGGCACGTCTTGAGCACGCGTTGTTTACTCAACCCCCAATCCCACCTGGGAGATTTGACAGAGAAACACCAGCAGGGGCGTGATCAGTGAAGCAGAGGAGGGTAAATGTAGACTAGGATATTTGCATCCGTTTATCGGCTACGGCTATCCATACAACATAAGTCATTTGAAATGCATAAGATGGGGCTGCAGAACGCCCATGTCCAATCAGCAGTACCCTACCTGCTTCAAGTATCATTACAGCCATGCAGGAATGTTTGTGCCACTATATAATTTATTGTACACTGTGTGCGCACAGGGTGGTTCAAGCAACATTTCAATTACTCTGTTGAATTGTTTACTCTCAAGGTTTTCTGAGGTAGGTTCAAAGTATGTGTGACCTTAATTTGTATGCTAATTACACCTCTGATGCCTTATTAATGCGCAGCACACACAAGACTTATTGAGAGGTGTTATGGTTTAGGTCAGTATGCATTAATATACTTTAAAAAGAGGGCAGCACATAAGTTTTGATTGCTTTATGAAGACACAAATACAATCACAATAACCCATATTATAAAATCTATTTATAATGTTTATATGGTTTATACTGAACCACAGAAGCACTTTTATTAAGAAAGGTAATTAGTGATATACTGTATTAATTCATTTCTCCAGGGTTTTCTTTGATTTATCCAGTTCAATCTGGTAATGAGAGCCAATTTCTTCTATTTGTATTATACATTACACCAATCCCTATACTCAACCTCCTTCTCACTCTGTCCTGCACCAGTGATTTCTTGCTTTACATTACTGTAATCCAAAATGTGGAATTTGCTTCAATTTCTCTGTGTTACTAGCACACAAAAAGTTCAGAAATAAATACACAAACTATTTTAAGGAAGAAACTTTATGTGTTTAATGATAAAAGTTGAGTATGCAGAGGCTAAGCAGAAAAAAAAACATTATTATATCAGCCAGTGGTCCCTGAGGCTCCGTGCCCACTGGATGCTGGTGGCCCCAGTCTTCAATGCTGTCATAACACTTTGCGTGTCTTTTGCACAAGGACACTAAGAGAGGCTGAACGAGCATTTTTCTTTTTTCACTCAAGAACACCCACACAGCTTTCCCCCCCCTGGGATGACGACATAAAGTGAGTCAGAGTCTAATTGCAGCAGGTGAAGTGTTTTGACATTATTCATACTCATGCGTGCGTCCTCGCAGAGCTGAACTTGAGGTATTTGCATTTTTTAATTTTCTTTTCATTCTTGCAATCATTACCGTTTTATCTTTGTTTTCATTTTGCAGACTGCAAACTAAGATTAATGACTCATCTCCGAAATAGTCCAGATACCATGATTCCCTGAGGACTCGGCTCCTGAATATTGATGGTACCTGAATTCTCGGGAAATGCCATAACCTTTGACCTTAGCTGAACTTTGTGTTTTATGCCAATTTAAACCCCAAATAGTATGTTCATGTCTTTAATTAGAAAGGTGAGTATTTCTAACACCACTCAGCATGTTCAGCAAAAGCAACATTTGTTGAAATACATCAGCTCTTTAGAAATGTTGCTGTCTGAGCTTCTATTTTGAAATGTTAGAAGAAAAACAGACAAATTACCAATTTTAGAAAGATGTTATCTGACCTTTAGTTTAAAAGAAAACATCCAGCCTGCGCCTCAGTGACTAAAATACACTGTTTGGAAATCAAAAGTGTAACCTCAGTCGGTGACATTGATTGTCTCTCCTAATCAGGTGTCAGTTGATGTCACCACGGAAACACAGCTCTGAGACACCCTGAAATTGATTGCCTTATGTCGTAGCCTCAAATGAGTCAGTCTATTACAAGAATGAAAGTCTAACCTATAAAATAAGTTTTAATGAAACCTTCGCTTTGGGTCTGACATCTTTGCCCCCGCTTTAGGACCATTTACTTCTATTTTAGGAGACATTGTTGTGTGCGTGATGATTCACTGCCATGTGTACTCTGTGACTTTGCTTTTGCGGGTGCTCCTAGTATCAGAGCCAGCTGGGTTGGGTTAGTTGTTGCTGGTGGAGATGGGGAGGTCAGACGCAGAGGTAGCTGCAGGGCCAGAAGAACAGCTGGGTGAAACGGGATACGCCTGCAGCCGAAGAAAGGCCATGCAACCCGCTGTCTGCGCACTTTGTGTGTGAGTTTGTGCTACGCTTGTTGCATTAATAGCTGCTGATGTTTGTACACGGCTGGAACTTTCCTTCAAACTAATTTTGCGTGGAATTTTTGTGCTTCTCCGTGTGCATTTAAGTGACAATAGTCTTGAAAAATGTAATGACAGCACCTGTTTGGAGGGCACTTTCCTATTTATTATTAGTTCTTGATCTTGAAATATTTATAATAATACAATTCCCTCATTAATTTGATTTAAAAAACTGTATCAAGAAGAGGAAAACAAGAGAACTGCTGCAGATATCAAGTTGGGTGAAGACGAAGGTTTAAAGATCGACAACTACGGTATATTAAAGAGAGCTAATGCCGAGCAGTTACTCTCTGTGACTGCAGGAAGGAGGTTGTTACCATGTAGCTGATGATTGAAAAACTGCAGTTATTATGGCCTCTAGTGCTATTACATGCACACTTCTAGATCCGGCTGTCAGAGGGATTGTGTAGAATGAAAGTCATGTATCACTGACTTTACATTTTTCCGTAGGGTCTTTCAGTCTGCAAATTTAATTAGCTGGCTCCGTATGGCCTACAGCTGGGAGGGTCGAGTGTAGATGAGGAGAGCAGGGAGTGGCGAGATACTAAAATTTGATCAAGACATTAAAGGGTCGACTGGTTCATGCTGGGAAGAAGAACAAGTGTTTCAACTTAAAGAGTCGTACAAGTCTATCATTCTCATAGGCCTTAAAGAGAAATGGGATATTTAGTAAATGCACACTTAAATCAAGCTATGGTTACAGCTGGATTAGCAGATTTGACTGGATTACTGTCCTTGTCAAGTCTTAAAACACCAAGCAAGAATTGATTCATCAACTAATGTATGTCTTCCTTCACCACACTTGGTGGTAATATGCCCCATTCAGCTGGCTTGGTGACCTCTTATGACACGTTCCAAAACGATCGACAAATGTGTTGACAAGAGGCTAATGGGTTGTATGTCAGATGAGGAAAACACACAAATTTACATCACTGTACCTTTCATATGTATCTTCTCATACAACAGCTTCTTTTTTCCATCTCTTCTCTTTAGGTTTTGTTTACCGCCTTGCTTCTTCGGGTCACTAATGCAGTCCACCGTCCATCTTTTAAGATTGACCTGCAAACTGTTGAGCATGTGCAGAATACTTAATAGTCACACTGAGATATATGAAGGGAAGAGAAAATCAACACTTTACTTCCTTATCCAGGTATTCCTGTCAGATCAGTGTGTTTTATATTCATTCTTAATGTCTTAAAGGTAGTTTGCCAAGAGTATCATATCAGCACATTTTACTGTTTTAAAATCAACAGTCCATAGCTGGCTGTAGGAGTTGCCCATAAACATAGTTAGAGCCTCGGTGACGTCAATTAAAACTGTCTGAAGTGGGGTTTATGAGCCCAAACGTGGCGGTCACCCTCCTGAAAATGTTGACTCCAACCAGCTTCAACTCTAGAAAGCAGAATAAAGGTGAAGTTAAAGCCTCTCTGCCTGGCAAACAGCTGCATCACACCAGTTGTGGTGAGATCAGCTGTGCCCAAATTATGTAAAACTCTTAGCCTGAATTATAACCAATGAGTTATAATAGGGTGACCATATGTCCTCTTTTACCCGGACTGTACGGCCTTGTCCGGGGGAGTTTATAAAGTCCTTCAGATGTCTCGGGTTTTGTATGGAAGTTTTGAGTTTGTGTCGAGTGGACTTACTGAATTAGAAACGCATAAAAGACACTCGATCCGACCCAAAAAACTCTCAAAATTAATTACGCATTACACCGTGACACAGCTCCCAAGTAGTCGTTTTCTCTTCTTGGGGATCCAGAATATGGTCACTCTAGTTTAAGAACACCATGTACAGTTGTTTTGAATGAAGAAATCAAGTGAAGAGACCAAACTGCTTTGAAAATCAATATTTTAATGCAAACTCTTTTAAGGACTCCTTCGCTTTCAGATCCAGCCTCAAGTGGGAAACTCTAGGAACTGCAGTCTGTTCGCACTCCACATTGGCTTCATTTTTCAACAGCAGTAAAAAGTCTGCTAACAGAGAAAAACAACCTCATCTGTCTCTGTCCAAAAGGAGCAAAATCCACAACTTCCTTTTTTCTCTCCCTTCAATCAATACACAATATCTTGAAATAGGGACAAAGAACTCTAGAGCCAAGTGGGCTGAAAACTGAACAATTAAGACAAGTTGAAATGAGAGAGAAAATTCAATGTGAGACTGGAACCTTTTTAGTGTGGCTCTCAGTCCCTGAAGCTGAGAAAACAGGCGATCAGGTAGAAAGGGTGAGAAGAGTTCGATGGGAATTATAAGGTGTAGAATTGGAAGAAACGTGAAGGGAGTAAAAAAGAAAGTTAGGGGGGATATAG